GTGCGGTTGCACACACTTTTTCTGTTTGTTTTTTTTTCAGCCCATGGACATGGAGAAAATTCAATGTTTGCTCAGGCAGCAAAGGCTCATGGGACTTTTCACACTTTAAAATTTGAGTATAAGTGGTCTTTTAAGGTGTGCAAATTTAGATATGGACTAAGTGCAAATATAGTATTTCTACATAAAACAGGAGATTACAATCTAGTAACCAGGATAWCTGCTAGTGGGCCAAATCAAATGGCTTGGCGGGCCAAATTTGGCCCACGGGCCCCACTTTGGGCATCTCTGGCCTAGAGGTTGAGCCTACACAGAGAGGGGCCGTAGGGTATCGTCCGTGACCGACAGAGGGCGTGGTTTGCCAGTGTCCGCTACAAAACGTCGCTCTTGTGACGTCATATTTCCCAGCCGAAGCTAGGCCGGACACTGCAGTAAAGATGGCTGGAGTATTGAAGAAGGTACGTGTAGAGGTCATGTTTTTGTGCTGTTTCTAACAACTAAAGACGCCTGGTGGAGGTCCCAGAATCAGTAGGGGGGACTTTCTGTGACGAAGACCTGCATCGGTCGGTGAATGAATGATTACTACGTTTGCTGTTTAGCTATCGTTGCTAATCATTAGCAACAATCTGAACCCGAAGAATCATTGTTGTGCTGGTTATGTACACATAAGTTATTAAAACATTTAAATCAGTAAAGCCCTAGAACTTATCCGGTTGTTTGCCCTTCTATCTATAGAAGCAGAAATATTTAATAATGAATAATGGTTCAACAAACAATTATGCCCCAGAGCTAAAATCAAAATGTTTTGATTTTATGCTAAAATAGGGTTTAGACTTTATGCTTGCGTCTCGAAAATGAGCAACCTATCACTTTGAAATAAATTCTTATTTTGCATTAGGAGACATCATCAACGAGTCAATACAAWAATGATGTTTTGTATGGCAGGCCATTTTAACATAAAATCAGCTTCCTCTGACTCTCTAATAACATTCTAGATATATAAAAATAAGTTTTGACAAGGAAAAACAACATGTTGACAACCTGAAGGATAATTAAAGACATCTGTACATTCTGACAAGTCAAAACATAA